TTACCTACATCCATCCAGACACGGCGGCCATCTTTACCTACATCCATCCAGACACGGCGGCCATCTTTACCTACATCCATCCAGACACGGCGGCCATCTTTACCTACATCCATCCAGACATGGCGGCCATCTTTACCTACATCCATCCAGACATGGCGGCCATCTTTACCTACATCCATCCAGACACGGCGGCCATCTTTACCTACATCCATCCAGACACGGCGGCCATCTTTACTGCCATAAACAGAGCGCAGACGCCTACGTTCTTCTTGGGTCGCTTTGGGGTCAGAAAGTGATCCCACAGAAGTCTGACTGCAGTCGGGTTCAGGATGAACAAAACATGCTGAAAAACTCAGATTTCAGCAAAAAACTGAGCATCAAAAGCTGAAGTAAAAAGTGAAACTGAGCTACCAAATGCACCGTTGGACTTCAACTTGCCAGGCTCTATTTTCTGTCTGCATTTTTATGATTGAGTGTGTTGGAGATTAAGACAGGAGAACCACAAGGCTGAGAACTGGGACCTCTGGGATGGATGAATTTGGTCTCACATAAAGACTTAGAAAAGTTAGTATCACTTTATGTCACTAGATGGCTTAGATCACAGATGTCAAACTCCAGCCCTGGAGTACTTTGATAATAATAATACTTTGATAAATGTAAGTGTTAATTAAAAACAGTTTCAGGAGAGCATGTGTCACGTTTGATGTTCCACCAGTTTCAGCCTAAACTGAACAGTTTAGGTTTCAAAGCTAAACAGAAGTCAGATGCCATGTCAGCTAATCCAACCGTTGTCTTGTCTGCCTGTTAGCTTCACGTCATGTTTTTGTTTCCTGAGCCCAAACTGACGGATTACGGATTCATGACAAAGTCTCACAGTCTTGGACATTCCTTGTTGCTTCTTTGGATTTTGATTTTGAATCCCATGCCTTCCCCACCTTTCATCCTGGTCCAAACTCCGTCATCTTCACTACTTTCAGAAATAACTCCAGTCAAATGCAACATCAAAAGACTGTGCTGAATTTCAAAATCAATTTGTTGAAAAATACTCCGAAAAACTCAACAACTGCGATTATGGAGACAAACTTTGGTAAATTCAGAATGATGATCCTCTCAGCCGGATTTGCTTCCAGTAAATCCAAAAATCACTCTTGACATTACGCAGAATGAAATCTTTGTTTCACTGTTTGGTCACAAAATGCAGCTCAGCAGGTCTTCAGATTTTATGGTGAATGATTAATATCTACCCTGCTCATCATCACAGTTTTTAAATCACACAGGAAAAACTCCTGGGCCAGAAATGGGAAACTTACATGCAGATGATGCAGGTTTTTACCTCAATGTTCAGTCTGACCCGTAGTTTGATTTCTCCGTATATTTTGGACCATTTTCTGCTGAAAAACCCAGTGATGGCACATTTAGAGTTTTCTTTTCAGATGTCCTGAAATCCCTCTGCCATGCGTCGATGAACAGATGAACAGACTGCAGTTCATTGGTTTGAATGAAGTCGAGCTGACGGCTTGTTTTATTGATGATAAACTGTACTGTAAAACCTTTCAGCTTTGGATTTGTTGGTTTACAGTACAAGAGGTGATGACATGAGAGAAGTTGGTTTAAGTTTAGTTTAATTAACAGCTTAATGGAAAAATCGCACCAGTACTGATTCCACAGACAGTTAACATTTAAAATTAACATGTCAAACTATTTTCCACTTTGACCAAAGTGAAACCCTAATGGTGTTTTCGTTTTCATTCTTAGAGATGTTTTCCACTGCGGCAAAAACTTTCCTGTTCACACTTTTCACCTGTTTCAGATCACAGTTTAGATTTAATCTGCAGTTTTTCTTCTTATATAAATGTAAATCAGATACTTTCTGACAGCAGGACGTTTCAAACCGACTTTAATCAGCTGGAAACAAAGCAAAGCTCTCACCCTGACATAGTTGGCGTTGATGTAGCGATCCGGACCCGGTTCTTCGTCCAGGCTCTTCAGGATCACCCGAGTCTCTGGGTCTGAGAAGCAAACCGCAGTGATGAGTCGGAGGACAAGATAAGATCAGCGGAGCTGCTGCTGAGGTGCTTACTGGGCAGGATGGTTTTGTATCTGTCTTTCATCATGTGTCCCGGAGCGTCGAGCTCGGCCGCGCTCACAAAGTTCGGAGGAATCTTCTGCAGATGAAAGCAGAACGTTTTGGACGTTAAACTTTACTAACATTTTTCCTGTAATCCATCCACAGTCCAGCTGCCTGGACGGCTGCATGAAACCAGCAGGCAGGACTAAACAGGACTTTGGTTTGGTTTTATTACTTTGGGTTTAGCTTTCTATAATTTTGGGTTATGTTGTATTTTAGTGGATTCTGGTATTTGGTCATGTTTGTTCCAGTTGACTGCTCCGGATTTGGCTGTCATTTGTGTTTTTATCTTTTATAAGTTGTTTCTTATGGCTTAGTTCATTTCTCTGTAGAATTGATTGTTTTTAGCGATTAGCTCAGAGCTAAATCTTCTGAACTTCTTTATTAATCACCTCACCACTCAATAACTGTAACTTTTCCTCTGGTCTTGTACAACATGTCAGCTAAAACCAAGATGAGCCGATTGAACGGCCGTACAGATGCGTATGAATGGATCTATAGGGACATCAGCACTGAAGTGATGCAGGTGAATACAGCGGTTATCTGGAACCAGCTTTTATTTTGATAGTCCACTTCTGCTGATCAGCAAGTAAATTTACAGAGAATTAGCTAAATATTTAGCTAGCTCAGAGCTAACTAAATATTTTTGCTAGATCAATGCTAAATATTTACTTTGGAGCTAAAGAGTTGGCTTGCTAACTAAATATTCAGCCTCAAGCTAAGTCTTTAAGCTTAAAG